ACTTCTTCCCACCAATCTTTCAAATGCAAGTCTTCAAGAGAAGGTCCTATGGGCTGAGCCTTCTCATGTGTCTGGGCCCTAATTCCCAAACGAGTTACTGACTGCTTCCTGGGGGGTGGGGGGCAGGGCTCATAGGAGGGGGATTTCCCAAGCCCAGGAAGAGTGTGCCAAGGGTGCTGAGCCAACTCCACTTTGGGGTACAGACTCCAAAGAAATGAAGGGAAGGACTCAAAGAGATACTTGTACACCCGTGTTCAGAGAAGCATGATTCACAATAGCAAAAAGGTAGAAGCAACTCAGATGTCTGTCAATTGCTAAATGGACAAATGTGTGATATATCTCTACAATGGAGCATCATTCTGCTTTAAAGAGGAAGGAAATTCTGACACAGGCTACAACATGGATGAACCCTGACAACATTATGCTAAGTGAAATAAAATTAGATATAAGACAAATCATATTTGTCCATGATTCCACTCATGTGAGGTTTCTGGAATAGTCCAATATACAAAGACAGAAAGTAGAATGGAGGTTACCAGGGGTTGGGAGGAGGGGGAATGAGGAGTTATTTTTAGTGTGTGCAGAGTTTCAGTTTGGGAAGATGAAAAAGTTCTGGAGATGGATGGTGGTGATGGTTATACAACCACATGAATGCACTTAATGCCACTGAACTATACACTTAAAAATGGTCGAAATGGTAAATTGTACATTATGTATATTTATCGTAAAAAAAAGGTGCCAAGCATGACACATATCCACGCTGACAACTTTAAGATTTCATTTTCGAGAAGAGGCCCAGAAAGTGACTAATCAGTGGCGACGTGGGCGACTGTCAATCTTGAGTGCTTGCTCCTTCCAGAAAGAAACTGTTGGGACCATTAGAAGTAAGGTGCCAGCTCCTCAGTCTTGCTCCGCCAGGCAAGCGACCCAGCAAGCTGAGTGGGTTGGATGGGAGACAGCGAGGAGAAGGGGTGACTGTGATGCTTTGAGGAACAAAAGTTCCGTCCCAACAGGGCAGCTGCTCCTCGGTTTGGGCAAGTTTGACACATGGGCAGGGAGCCCCATGCTGTTCCATCTCCTGGCTCCTAAAAAGAAGCCAGACATCCAGATATTTATGTGAAATATCCCGAACTTTAATTGTTGGCAACAGATTCAAATAATATGAGAGTCTGCAGGCTGGGATGAAATCTCTCTCTGGGTTGAAGGCCACCCTTGGGCTGCTGGTTTGAGAACTCTGTTTGAGACTAGAGGCTAGGGCCAAAGATAACATCAAGATGTCAGTTTTAATAGTTGATGCTCAGAAACCCCCCAGGAAAGAATGCTAAAGAAAAACATAGCTATGAGCTAAAATCAAAATAAGGGTCTTGTAGTACATTCGACTTCCCACGCTAAATTCTCAGATCTTCCGAGGCAGAGTTGGGACTGAGGATTAAACTCCATGGGAACTTGGCCACCCTGCCTGTCCAAGTGGCAGGAAGAGCTCTGCCTCTAAAACTCATTAACCAGGAAACACAGAGTGACACAAAGCGGGGAGGATGGAGACAGAGAGACAAAGAGGACAGGGAAGGACGGAAGGAAAACGGGAGGATGCAGAACAGGTTTTCAGCCTTTTCTCAAGGCCAACTCCTTCTGCAATCTCTGAAATGACTGTTTCCAGCTGGAGCAACCCGTTCTCTGGTTGATGTGGCCCAATTTGAGCAAACTCCGTGAGATAGTGAAGGACAAGGGAGCCTGGTGTGCTGCAATCCATGGGACTGCAAACAGTTGGATGCGACTTAGCTACTGAAAAATAATTGATACATTCACTTGGTTTGACTCTTACCTAGTAAATTTGCTCCTGTGAGAAGGTGTCAGAAAGCAGGGGAGAGGGAAATCATTGTGGAGAGGGGCCAGGAAGCTTCTCCATTTTCACTTCTAATAACTCATTTGGTTTGATGGCCAAACCTGTGTTCAATGTGCTGGCGGCTTGTCTCAGGGCAGGAGATGAGCATCTTACTCCCATCTTCATGAAGTTGCTCACCCAACACCCACACCTGGCCCTTTATGAGTCTCCCAGGGACCCTCAGTGGACACTAGGAAGTCAACACAGATCATTAATAAAAGTCTCTCCAACACCACGCTTTTCCATTTCCCAACACAAGTTGTCTAAACATCTTATCGGAGACTAAGCTAAATAACAGAATCATTCTAGTTTGAAAACTGTGAACTCCAATTATTAGATACACCTAGAAAAAAAATTAAAGGTCGAAAGTTAAATTCCCCTTTCTTATTAAATACAAAGAAATTAATGTCCAATATTTGTTGAGTCCAATTTGCTATAATATATAACAAGAACCCTCTCACTGGGAGGAGAGAGTATCTGTTCTGGAAACTACTGCTTGGATCAAGATCATGGTTCCCAGGGGGGATGAATGCCTGTTGTCTTCACTCTCATCTCAGGCTGGGAATCATACTTCCTGGAATCCCCTTCCCCCTGTGGTTCTAGGGGGCAAGTGTGTCAATGAAAGGAGCTTACATAAGACTTGAAGGCAGAAGTGTAGTCAGTCATTACTCTGGACTGGGGTGAGTGGCCATGTGATTTAAGTCCTCTCCATGAGCTAAGTCACCGAAGTACCACCTTGGACTTATTATACTGCCTTCCTGGTCACCCTTGCAAGCTCCTGGTTCTCCATCTGTCCCAGGCTTAGGCTGGTGTCATTGGTAATTATGTCTGGGATCCTCCAGCTGCAGCCTTCCAGGCATTTCTCTGCCAGCTCTTTCAGGGTCAGTATAATTCCTTATCTCCATCTTCAATCCCTTTTTCCTGTAACACTTGTAGTGGCTCTGACTGATCCCAGCTGAAACACTGGGAAAACATAAACATCATTTTCCTAAAGAGGCACGTATTAGATCTAAGCCAAGATAGCAACTAGGTCAAGATACTCACATTCCATCACTTTCTGGCAACCGATTCCAACTAGAAAGATGAGTTATTTAAAGGGCCTATTTTTCACTTACAAGGGAGCTAACCCCTTCTTCTCTTTCTGTGATACCCCAAGAACTCATTTCCCTGCTAGAACACGGTGTCAGTTCCTCATCTCTGAACTGGGGATTTCATCCTCTCCAGATAGGATCTGTGGTGCTAGGAAGTTCAGTGAAGACAGTTTCCATTAGTTCTCAAAGAGAGAGTATCTTTTGTTTTTCTTTTGAACTTTTTATTTTTATATTGGGGTGTAGCTTATCAGCAATAGTTAACTGTGATAGTTTCAAGTGAATAGTGAAGGGACTCAGCCCAGAGAGAATCTCTTTTTCTTAGATCATGAACCTGGATATTCTGGGACCCTATTTTCCACCACATTTTATAAGACCAAGAAGTCATGGCTTGACATGGATAAAGCAGGATGCAGAAGTCAGAGAGGGCAAAACAGATCCCTAATGACAGCTGTTGAACCAAAGAATTCAGCCCTGTCCCAAACCAGTTTCCATACATTTGAAGATGATTGCATTTAGCCAATACACCTTCTAAAATTTAACACAATTCAGCTTGTGTGAGTGGGATTACTTATAACTATCACTTACAACCGGGGATTCTATTAACATTCCCACTCACTTGTATAACTACTGGATGTCGAGGGAGTTTGCGTATTTTCTCCCTGGATGCATTTCTTCTCCTATGAACTCCTCCACTGTAGCCATCTGAAGCTCCTTCTTCCTTATACTGTTCATTCTTTGAATCTGCTGCCTTGCTTGAGGGTAGCAAGTTAAATTGAGAAGATGAACACTACCTCCCCGCTCATTTATCCCCATGAACTTTTCTCTAAGAGACAGACTGTTGTGATACTTTATCTTACAGAATCCTTAGCGAGAGTAGATTTTCAACCAAGACCTTGGCATTCAACTCACTGTTTAAGGCCTCTCTGGGAAAGTCTCTACTCATCATAACCCTGTATTTCTGTATTCACTGGAAAAGAGCTAAGAGGGTCAATTAAAATGAATTTCACAGGTCCTTGAACTGCCTTCTTCCCACGTTCTTCCATTTTTAATTTTTTGGAGGTTGGTGCCATTTTGAGGGTTCCAATCTCCAAGGCCAACCATTACTGTGCTATTTCTTTTCTTTTCATGAGCTTCAGATCCATGAGCACGATGTAGGAATGAGCCATTAAGTTAGGGGTGGGCAAATGACAAAGCCAGATCCAGCCCATTTTGCTAGTTACTGGAACCGAGGCACATCTATGCATTTATGTATTGTCTATGGCTGTTTTTATAGTTGCTACAGAAACCCTATGGCCGCAAAGCCAAAGTATTGTATTATCTGACTCTTGACATGAAAAGTTTACTGATCTCTGCTCTAGATTAGTGTTTCTCAACTGTTTTCTCAACTTAGTGCCCATAAAAATGATACTCTAAGAGATGAAGGAGCTCACATCTTGATGAGATTTTGGGGGCACATTGTTCAGGAAGGTCTCCCTAGACCACTTGGGGCAGGACATGACCTGGTATATGCTTGGGATACCACTAGTCTTTCCAACACCTCTGGGTACCGACACACGATCTACACCTTGACTTTGTAGGTCCTGTGTTTTGACTCCCACAGAGAGTTTGATTTTGGTCAAGGCCAAGGTCGCTATTGTTCAGGAGTGGTGGTGGTGACCTCCTGGGTGTCCTGACTTCCTGTGTGACTGCCCCTGTAGCCTAAAGCGAGACTTATAAGAGCGCAAAGATGCTCCCATCACTGGTGGCCCCTTTGGAGCCATTTATGGTTCAAAGCTATTCACCAGCACACCTGTGCCAGAGCCAGCGCATGTCCTGAGTATGTGGTCAGAATCTGCTCAGTATCACAGCCACCTGCCCCTTTCCCTCAAACACTGAAGTCACTATGGGCATAGTTAATGCCCATCTTGTGAACTGACACCCAAGGTCCCTCCAAAATGGACTGGTGTCCACGACTTTACCTCCAAATTCCAACCATGCCAGTTGTGGAATCCTTAAACACCCATCATATTTTGAGGTCCCATCAGTAGTCTCTTGTCTTTTCTCATTTTATTAGGGTATACATTCATTGCAGAAGGCACGACAGAAGCAGCTGTCCACTGAACAATAAAGGGGTTAAGAATCATTTACACCAACAGGAAGAATGAAACTGCAAATTTATTTGAAAGTATAAAAATTAAAAAAAAAAACCTAATCAAAAAAGCAACCACACATAACCTTTCCAGTTTACATCAACTTTGAATGTCACATGCTATTTATTAATCACTTCCTTGTGTTTTTTAAAAATGTCAATTTCAAAGTAAAGGGACGGAGGGCAAGTGATAAGTGATCACAGTGGAACGATTTCAACGCTAAAATAAATGCTGATCTTATTTGAGAAAAGGGAGCAGAGATGGTTTTCTGGTTGGCACAGATTTATGCCATGTATTAAAAAAAAAAATCCTGGTTGGAATGAGTTAAAGAAATAATGCTGGTCACTTATTTGCTATCTTAAGTAGGGGAAAAAGCAAAACTCTGCTGCTTTGGTGTCCTATTTATATCTTTTTTAAAAAACCCACCATTTAAAAAAATCAAATCTATAATAAAAATGTCCCTGTGTTTATTTTAAAAAACAACATTAATAGGCTCTCCTTATCGACTAAGACCATTTGTCCTTTCTAAGATGCCTGAAAGCTGAAAAGTGCGTGAAATTAATTCACTGCACAATTAATTAAAATTAGAATCCTTTCCTCTAAACAATTTCCAGAGCACCAGAAAGAAGCAGGGGCCCACCAAGGGGAGAAATGAAGACAGTGTGACTCATGTGAGAGGAAATGTTCAGCCAGAGCTCCTCACACACTCCGGCTGCCACTTAAAGTTCTCTCTGCACTGGACTACTCAGAAAATAACGCGTGTTATTTTAAAAACGAAAAGACGTGAGCAACTAGGTTTCTTTTCTTAACTTGAAAATCACCAAGTGGCTAGCTTTCCTGTAGCACACTTTGAAATTTGGTTTAAAAGAAAAAATCGTCTACAGAACAGGATCACTGAATGCCACTTCATCCCCCCTCCTGCAGACTCTGTTTGAATTAGCATCAAAGAAGTTACTGGGCATGTGGGAAGCAGGTCCGCACGACAGCTGCCCCGAGTGGCTCCACCTGGTTCCAGTTTTGTCCCCCGCCCTCCGGTTAGTCAGTGTGGTTTCTTGACAAATAACATCTACATTTCCACCCATGACTTCCTGAGGGGGTGGGCGCTGTGGCTGGCTGGGCACGGAGAAAGGAAAGCGAGCCTGAACACAGAGACCATGAACTGAGGGAGAAAGGCATTGGTCTTTCTGCATCCTTCACGAACTCGATAAATAAAAACTCAAAGTGCAACAATGCACAGACGCCTGGCACACAGGGCCGTCTGGGGGCGGGGGGGGCTGGTTATGAGAGCTCAGCGAGAAAAAGGCGTGATCTTGTGCATCTTTGCTTGGACCTCGCTAATGGAAAAACAAACAAAAGACAGCTTTCCTATACACATATAAATAGTCCCTTAACTAGAAGGGAAAAAACAAACACACTGTTTCAAATGCATTTCTAAGAGATTATATATAAAAAAAAGTCCGAATGGCAAATCTTGACTCCAAACTGTCTGTTATCCATGTCTCTCAGAGAAGAAACTATGGGATGTCTGGAGAGGTCTGATTCTCGCTCTGACCCTAATCCTAAACCTTGGTGCCGGTATCTATCTGGCTGGGCCTTGGGAAGTTGGGGGGGTGGCGAGTGCCGCCCGGGAATGTGGAGCTCTCGCAGCAGGTGCTGAATTAGGTTTTCATGTGAATTAGAAACCCACAGTGTCCTCAAGCCCAACTGCACAGGTAGAATGACTTCTGAGTTGTCTGGGGGGACTTGGGAGGTGAGGGTTGAAGCCGCATGAATGGGCAATGCAGGCTGGGCATGGTTTACAGGGACGAAAGGACCAGATCAGGTTTCTAGCCAACTCAGGTTTAGTCCTCATCCCTGGGCTAAGGCAGGTCACAGCTGGGAGGGTGACAATCAGAAACCAGGGAAAGGGCTGTGGACCAAAGCAGACCCCGGTTCTTGGCAGCCTGTATTTTAGGAGCTGAGAACTCGGATAAACTAGTGGTGGGGGCTCCCTGCTTATTCTGGGATGAGGCTGATGATATATGATGCTGGAAAAAGCTCTCAAAATGAGGATTCTTGGGCAAATTGTTAAATCCAGAATCTCTCCAGAATTGATGGTTTCAGAGTCCTTCAGAAAACCAAAATGACACTGCTGACTTCTGAAGGATGTTACTCATAGCAACAGTTATCTTTGGCCCCATCCTCTGCTGACCCAAGAGCAACGTGCAGCATCGTGCAACATCCAATGACAGCCTCCTGGGAGGATCACCCTACCCAAATCCCCAGGTGGAGCTCTAAGGTCACAGCCCACACAGAATTTGGTCCAGTCTCCTCTGCCCTTCTGAAAATCCCATATGACACAAACACTGCTTTCTCAGTACTTAAGTACCACATTCTCCCGCCACCTGCAAACTTACGCCACCACCTCAGCAAGATTCCAACAGTAACAGAAGAATGACGTGGAGGGTGAGGCTGTGATCGCTGGCCTCGAGGGAAGAATAAGTGCCCAGAAAAGATGCACCATACAACAGGTCAACTGAGAGGCCAGAACAAGGCAGGTCGCCCTCCAAAGAACATTCCTGAAATCTGGGCAAGGAGGTGAATGGAGAGACAGCTGACACTCCAAATCACTCCTTGAGGGACCCCGAGGAGCTTCCCGTAAGCGCAAGTTGTTAGGACAGTCAAAGTCAGAGCAGATGAACCCATGGAGACTTTGGAAGAGCCGGAGTTTATACATCTTCGGTGCCCTGGCTGGGCGCGGAGTCCCTGGGCTCAGCGGTGCCCTCCTGCGGGCCAGGCTGCCCCGGGCTGTGGCCGGGGGCGTCCACGCTCAGGAGGCTGCTGGCTGCCTGGGAGCTGGCGCTGTCGGCACTGCCGGAGCGGGAGCGGTAAGGAGGCAGGTCGGCTTGGTTCAGGGACTCAGTGTCTGAAGAGTAGGGTGGCGGAGGAAGGTCGTACCAGGCGGGTCTGCGATGAAGAGAGCAGGGTGGGGTGAGGAGCAGGGTTGGGGGAAGGGAGAGAGAAAAGAACACATCAGGAGCCCAGGCACGGCAGGCAAAGATGACTTCTGTCTGTTTTTGAGTGGATGATGGTGTCAGGACCGAGATTTTTCCCTCCAAGGAGAAAGGCAATCCTAGTACTAGGGAAACCAGTGATAAGCAATAAGATGAAGGGAAGGGATCAAAGGTCAGCATGCTCTGGCTGGCTTGTGCCAACTGTACAGTGCCAAACACATAACCTTTGGGAGGGGGAATTCTAAGAAGCCCCCGGCTCATCCTGGGTGTTCAGCAGGGATGCAGCTGGCCTGAGGTTTTGATGGAGACCTTAATGATCCACATAATTGGGGGTCCTTGCTGAAAGCCAACTCTTTCTGGTTGTCAGGACTTGGGCATAATAATGACACCTTGCTTGCATTGAGATAACTTCAAAGGCATTTTACTGTCCAGCTATCATTTACAGAAGGCTTATTGTGAGTCAGGCATTGCGCCACCCACCTTATATCCTTTATTTTATTTTATTTAGCATTCAGAAGAATGCAAGAGGGAGCCATTACTTGTATGCCCATTGTACTGGGGAGGAAACTGAGGCAAAGGGGCCTTAGACAGCTTGCGTGGGGTCACAAAGAGCTAGTAAGCAGCAGTGCTAGGATTTGAACCTAGGAGTTCTGTCTCCAGATGCAGCAGTTTTAACCTTGCTCTACATCTGATGGTCCAAGCACCAAGAGCACAGAATCTTAGTGCTTATTTGCAAATATGTCTTTAAGCACCAGGCCCTGGAGCTCTGTTTATCTTTTATGAGGAGGAAAAATGAAGATTATATAACACAAGAGCTGTCACTGGACGGGCTCAAGGAAGAGTCCAGTTAGCCCAGGAACACTGCCTGCAAAATGCCTCACCAGTGAGTCCCAGGCTTATAGGAGAGGGATCCTGCAGGGTAAGGGATGCTGAGAACTGGGGGCTCAGGTAGCTCTGGTCCTGGGACTTCAAAGTGGGTTCTCTGGGATGTGCTGGAGGTCACCAAAGGACAGAGGAAGGCCGAGCAGGCGGGACTGAGGTCCACTACCTACTCCAACTACAGAATTCTGCGTTTGACTTTGGTGGGTTTCCTGTACAGCTCCATCTGCAATGAGGGTCCTAAGCTTGAGAATTGTCCCTTTATCTTGCAGATGATGGCATGCAAAGTTAAGGAACTTATTTATTTACCCTCTCATTCATTCATTCAATTAGAAATCAAACCTCCAACGTGGGCACTGTTCTGCGGTAGCAGGTGGGTCCCCAGAGTTGGGTACATGTGTCCATGTGGCATTACCAAGGAGGAGTAGGGATCTGAACTGGCTGGGATAGCTGTTTGTCCTCAGATGAGTAACTGAAAAACTCAGTTTTCTCATCTGCAAAACTGAGGCAAATATAACCTCGCTTGGTGAGTCGCTATGAGGATTAAGCGAGATGATACGTGTGAACTGTTTTGCAAAGACTCAGTACAAGTCAGACACTGCAGCATCTTTGCAGCTGCATGCAGGGATCCCGGGCGCGTGCACACAGACTCTGCCCCTACGTGCGACGACCTCCCTTCCTGGCTGCCCCAGGGTCTCCCGTCCAGCACACACCTTTGGTCCAGCAGGGCCTCTGAGTAGGAGGGCGGGGAGCCCACTTCCGACGCGTTCTGCTCGGCCTGGCTGGCCACGTACTGGATGCCGTTGTTGACGTTGTAGGTGACGTTGCAGCGGTGGGGGTGGTCCAAGACCACCAGGCGGGACAGCAGCACGGGGTGCTGCAGCCGGTGCACCGGCAGCGTCATGAGGTTGTTGCGCTTCCGCTGGTGGTGCAGGACCAGCGCCAGCAGGGCCACCACCAGCACGAAGATGACGGAGCTGCCGATGATGGCGTAGGTGATGCTGGGGTAGTACACGAGCTGGTTCTCCGAGGTCACAAATACCTGCCCGCTGCCTGGTTCTGGGAGACCCCAGAGGGGAGAGAAAAGGAGAGACGTTACCAGGTTGCTTCACTCACGTGCCTTGAAGTCAGCCCCAGGAGGGGCGTGCAATGTTCCAGCAGCACCATTCGCAGTAGCCGAAAAGTCGAAACCACCCCAACGTCCACTGACTGGGGTGGACAAGATGTGGGCCGTCCATACAATGCAATATTATCCAGCTATAAAGAGTACTGGCATATCTTACGACATGGATGAGCCTCAAAACATTATGCTAAGTGAAATAAGCCAGACACAATAGCCGAAAAGTGGGGACCGCCCCAATGTCCACTGACGGGTGGAGAGAGAAACAAAACGTGGACTGTCTGTACCATGGAGTATTACCAGGCCATAAAGAGTACTGATGCATGCTCTGACACAGATGGGGCCTCAAAACATTACACTGAGCGAAATAAGCCAGACACAAGAGACCACATATTGTATGATTCCACTTATATGACATGTTCAGGAAACGCAAATTCATAGGGACAAAAAGCTGATTAATGGTTGCCTGGGGCATGGGGACTCATTGGTGATAGGTGTTGGGGATCTTGCTGGGGAGATGGGACTGCTATAAAACTGGATGTAGTGATGGCCGCACAAATTGATACATTTACTAAAACTCATTGAATTGTAAAGTTAAAATGGGCAAATTTTATATTATATAATGCAGGCTAAGTCGCTTCAGTTGTGTCCGACTCTTTGTGACCCCATGGACTGTAGCCCACCAGGCTCCTCTGTCCATGGGGATTCTCCAGGCAAGAATACTGTAGTGAGTTGTCATTTCTTCTTCCAGGGGATCTTCTTGACCCAGGGATGGAATCCTCGTCTCTTATGTCTCCTGCATAGGCAGGTGGATTCTTTACCACTAGTGCCACCTGGGAAACCATATATAATGTAAATTATACCTCAATAAAGTCATTAAAAAAAATCAGCCCAGGGGAACATAACATCCAGGGAATGGGAGTGATAATTACTATGACAGGAAATAGTTTTTCTCTGGAAGTTTATAATATGTATGAGGCACACCAGCCAGCGTGTCCGGGGTTCCTTATGTTGGTGAAGTACTTATTTGATGCCTGGCCCCTTGCCAAGCTTTCAAGATGAAGAGCCGGCGTTGCAGAGGCTAAAATCATGGACTCGGAAGCCATTCAACCCCAAGCAACTCAACTGACTGGCTGTGTGCCCTTTGGAAAGTGATAAACCTCTCTGCTGTAATTTGCTCATCTGTGAAATGGGGATGGTATTAGTCCCCACCACACTGGGCTGTTCCGAGTGTCAAACACTTAGAACAGCGAACACACTGTGGGTGTTCCAGGCACACATATACGTACTTCATCATATCTGTGTGACTCACAGCAACTCCGTGAAGTAGGTGTTGTAACTGCCTTCTTCTTAAGACAAGGACAGGGACGCTCAGAGAGGTTGGGTCCCCTGACCAGGGTCACAGGGTTAGGAGGTGAGGGGCTGTGCCTGATTTGAGCCCCAGTGGTCTGACTTCAGAGCCTCGCCCCTAATACTTTGCCCGCAGCCCCCTAACAAGGCCTGCTAGGCAACCAGCAGGCATTTGCTCAGAAGCCTTTGGATGAAAACCTGAAACCCGCCTCCGCCCTGCAGGATGCCAGTCCCCTCCTCTCCACCTGGAGCACCAGCCCCCACTTCACATACGCAGCGGAAGGGTTTCCCACAAGCAGGACACAGCTGGCAAGGGTGACCAGGTTCAGGCGGGCCCAGGAAACCAGAGCGGTCCTTCCTTGTGGAAAGCTGGAAGATCTACAACTACCCCCAGCTGTGGCCCAGCCGCAACAATCATCTAAATGCAGCCTAAGTGTGCAAGTCTGAGACCACACACCCGGTGCCCGGTCAACCTCTGAAGCCACGAGGAGGTCTAAGTGGGTCCTCAGCGGCCAGGGTGAGCTATGAAGTGGAAGCAGTATTGTGCACTGGCAGGTCCAGTCCCGGGCTAAGCTTTCCCACACCCTTGTCACTAATTGCCCATGTGCACAATGTTGTATTTCACCTTCTGTATACATTAGAGTGTGCTCACCACCAAAACTTCGGGTCCTACTCATCACCATGGGCTTCACTGGTGGCTCAGCAGTAAAGAATCTGCTTGCGATGCAGGGGACGTGAGTTCAATCCCTGGGTTGGGAAGATCCCTTGGAGAAGGGAATGGCAACCCATTCCAGTATTTTTGCCTGGAGAATCCCATGGACAGAAGAGCCTGGAGGGCTACAGTCCATGGGGTCGCAAGAATCACACATGACTTAGCAACTAAACCACCGCCACTCATCACCACCATACAGTTGACCCTCTTTATCCATTTCACCCTCCCCCCACACCCCCACCCCTCTGGTAACCACCACTCTGTTCCCTGCACCTCTGTGTTTTGTTTGATTTGGTCTATTCACTTATTTTGTTTGTATTTTATATTCCATATATGCGTGAAATCACACAGTGTTTGTCTTTCTCCATCTGACATCTCACTTAGCACCATACTCTCTAGGTACCGTGGCATGATTTAATTTTTTATGGCTGAGTAATAATCCATGTGTGTGTATATGTGTGTCTGTGTGTGTACACACACAGACCACATCTTTTCTATCCATTCATTCATCTGTTGATGGCCACTCAGGTTGTTTCCATATCTTGACTACTGTAAATAATGCTGCAATGAACATAGGGATGCACATATCTTTTCAAACTAGTGTTTTCATATTCTTTGAATAAATACTCAGAAATGGAGTTGCTGGATCACCTGGTATTTCCATTTTTACATATTTGAGGAACCTCTATACCGTTTTCCATAGTGACTGCACCAATTTGCATTCCTTGCAACAGTGCATGAGGAGTCCCTTTCTTCTTTTTCTATTGTCATAAAAATAAATGTAACATAACATTTACCATTTTAACCAGTTTCAGGTGAGCAGCAGTTCAGTGACATGAAGTTACATTCACACTGTGTACAACCACCACCATGATCCATCTCGAGACTTTTTCATCATCACAAACTAGTGATGTGAATTCTGAGTGTTTGCATTCTTTCTGTTATCCTCACCAGCTTCACTAGACCAGAGGGAATGGCTGGGAGAGCCCCTTTTGGTGGGGGATGGTGTCGGGGAGAGAATAAGAACTGAATGAGCTCCCTTCCAGGGAGATGTACCCCTTCTTTATTTTTGACTGCACTGGGTCTTTGCTGCTGTGCGTGGGCTTTCTCTAGTTGTGGGGAGCAGAAGCTACTCTCTAGCTGTGGTGTGTGGTTTTCCCACTGCGGAAGCTTCTCTTGTTGCAGAGCATGGGCTCTAGGCGTGCAGACTGAGTAGTTGCTGCACATGGGCTTAGTTGCCCCGAGGCTTGTGGGATCCTAGCTCCTGGGCCAGGGATCCAACTCGTGTCCTTTACATTGGCAGGTAGATTCTTAATCACTAGACCATCAGCAAAGTCCCTGAGATGGACTTCTTAAAAGTCGATGGATTTTCACATGGAAAACAAATGGTTCCAGAGATCTTAAAACACTGACTTGCATGTAACCACTTGAGGTTTTAAGAATCCAGGAGGGAGCTCTTATTGAATGGAATGTAAAATGCTTGCTGGCGAGAAGCTGTGACCACATTTGCTCGAGAAATTATGATGTTACATAACTCAGGGGTGCCTGGTTTCCGCTCTGTATGTAAAATGTCATCTTGCATTAATTCATTAACTAGACTCACTTTTCTTAAGAGCTTAATGAGCCCGCGAGCCAAATTACTAATATCAGAGTTGCCTGGGACCTGAGTTGCAAGTGCATAATCCACGGATAATGAAGTTTCCATTTGTTCTGGCTTTCCCTCAAGCTCATGCCCTCCTGCTCACTGTCAAGCAGCTTGAACTCCTGTCTTGCATCTGTGGCTTCTGCTGCATTAATTCCAGGCAATCTGGTTACCACCAGAGACCACTGAAGCTCAAAGCTTCCGGGGCTCTGGCTGCTGCGCGTGGTGGAGACAGCCGTGGTCCAGGGCTGCTCATCACCTCGGTCACAGCTTTGTGTAGTTACCATGACAGTTTTCGAGTGGATGGTAGATGTCCTGGGGAGGAGAAGGGCCTTTTTCTAACTCATACAGAGGCGCTATCCGGACTGACAGAGGGACTAAAGCAGTGGACACTTGTGACTTGGAGTTCCTTGCTTCTAAAACATTCCCTCCTCCAGATTCAAATTGTATTTCCTCTAGCATACAATTATTCACCTCTCAGACTGGGCTTCTCTAGTGGCTCAGACAGTAAAGACTGTCTGCAATGCGGGAGACCTGGGTTTGATCCCTGAGTCGGGAAGATCCCCTGGAGAAGGGAGTGGCTACCCACTCCAGTATGCTTGCTTGAGAATTCCATGGAGAGAGGAGCTTCATGCGCTACAGTCCATGGGGTTGCAAAGAGTCACACAGGACCAAGTGACTAACACTTTCACTACTTTCAGACTAGGCAAAGGGGAAGTATGAGTTCACATCTTGCCAGGAAAACAGATATAATTATTCATGCATGACCGGTACGAGGGTGAATTGGTACAAACTAGGGTAGTGATTGGGGTTAACAATATAGATCAAAATAACAAATGTACATTAACAATATATATCTAAATAGAGAAAGTACATATCATTTGACCCAGCCTTTCCACTCTTATGAATCTAACTAACAGATATATTCACGCAAATGAGAAAAAACACTTTAATACAAATATTCATGGAAGTATTGTTCACGATAGCAAATATATCTAGAAAGATATATCAAGAAAAGATCTAGATGTCCATCATTTGTGGACTGGCTAAATAAGCTATGGTGCATCCAGACAGTATCATACCTATTTAAGAAACTATGGTAGCTCTATATAAACTGATGTGAAATAGTCTGAAAGATAACGTGCTAAGTGGTGGTGGGGGGGGGGGAAAGTCCAGTGGAGAATGTTTTGAATATTTCTAGAAGGACACAGAACTAGTAAAACTGGGAGAGAACT